TAAACACAGACACACTGTCTGTGTTTATCTTGTCTTATTGTAGAATCGAATTGTTAAAAAATTAAATTAATTTAATTAATTAATTAATTAATTAATTAAATTATTGTAGAATTCAATGGTTGTTTAGCTTTCATGCTCTGACGAAGGCGAACTTGCCGAAACGTTAGCCTTATAAAGTTTGAAATTTTGGAAATACTGAAGAAGTCATACATGCTACAAATACATCAAAGGACTACTTTCGACTTATAAGAGAAGTCATGTCGTCGCGGCAGAAGATCGTCGCAACGAGACACACCATCCACTTTCTGCGTCGTTGTCTGCCCATATCGTGCCAAAGTTCTTCACAAACAAACGATTGCACTAGGCTTGTGTATTTCCGAAGGTACTCACGACACGTGCGATCAATCGAGCAACAACTATCCAGGATGGCAATACGATCGAGGCGTGATCAATTATATTCATGTTTGTGTGAGTTTATTGTAAGAGAGAAGCGTTTTGAACGAATCGTGCCGAACACCTTGAACGAGAATGGTGGGTGAGTCGAAGAGCCTTTATGATTTGATTCAAGCAAGGCAAAGACTAGGCTGAAAGACAATTTCGCTAAATTGTAGATCAACAACGGGCTCTTGGAATACAAGTAGTGCCTACTAATTACCACCGATTACCAATGAGGACCACAATACTTCAAGCAAGACGAAGCACTTATCCCCTCTCAAGTCACGGTTCGAGGCGGTATCACCCTTCCTGAAGAAGCGCTATCATTTTTGCAACTAGATTTTGGCTTCGCGCCAACCTAATCAATTAAACGCCGGGTTGCACGTAAGATAGTAGGCAACCTGCTGACCCTTCAGCATCGCCCCAGATGTAGAGCCAACTGCACAATGCGGGAAGCAGGCGCTAGAGACCAGACAAACAGAGTTTTTCCAGCTTTAGTTTTCCTTGTGCATGTTACAGACCTCAAGAGCCGCATGCTGTCGCAGACATTGAATTCCTTTTCTACCTACATCTTTCTACGAGCAGTTCGTCGACGGACATCTTGGTCTTAACCTGACACCTTCACAAAGACAAGGCATCAGAAAATTACGGAATCAAATAGAAGCCGGGGAGATACGCTCGTCTGCTAGCGATAAAGGAGGGGAATTCGTGGTCATCCCACAAGTACCTGAATAGGCTAAAACATATCTTCATCTACTCTTGAGGTCAGGACACAACACTTTACTGCAGATCTACGGAAAAAGAGTATGCCAAACAGTACAGAAAACTGAATGAGGTCAAGTGAAGCATAGCGAAAGTTGCTGGTTTGCAGAGCTCCACGATCAATCGCTTGAAGAATGATCTGCCGTTGTGTTCTCTCCTGTATACCCCTATCAAGACTCATAAGCTAACCTCTGCAGACCTGAGTACTAACGACCCCACGATGTTCAAGGTCAGACCTACTATCGACAGTGTCGGGGGGCCCGCTGATATAGTTTATGGCTTCTCAATCTTATAGTATGACAAATCCTTCCGTACATACCCGTCCACCTGACTAAGACGAATATACTCCTGGAGAAACTGTTGAGCGTAGACCTCTAAGGGAATGTTGTGATCGTATCATTGTATCATTATTGTTACATCTTTGTACACAAATGTGACAAACCAAGTTGGAGGCAACATTCGAATTGCTGAGTGATCACGAAGGCCCTCTCAATTTAAACGATTTCTCTATTTCATGTAATGACCATCTAAAAGAGTGCTTGCATTGGTCGTTTTTTAGGTGGTCGGGTGACTACTAGACGAATGAGCGTCTTGGCTATGGATAAACGGCTAGCACCCGCGCTGGCATTAGCATACATGTCAAAAAGTGAGAAACATATTGTGGACTTCAGACCAAGTCTCTCGCTACATTGATGACTGCCTAATCATATGTTCCACTCAAGAAGAGATGAACATATGCTTTGACATCCTTAACAACCGGGCAATCGAATTCACACAGGAAAGGCCTGGGGAGACCGGTTCACCATTCCTTAATATCCAGGTCCAGCTAGCGAGGGGAACAGTGCGGACCAAATGGTACCGGAAGCCTAGATGAAAAATATTCTTACTCTCTACCGCTCGGCCTACCCCATCAGAGCAAAACAATCTGTTATCAGAACAGAACAATTTGTTCAGAGTTGCCACTAAGGACTCTTCTGATATGGATCTCAAGACAGAATCGCTAGACACGGCTCAAAGAGTTGGGTTGCCTAATGGGTATCCTCACCGCCACGGGGGGTCTCAACGTGGGGGGCATTTTCCGCCTCGTAGAATTCGTGAACAATCATTTCCGAAGAAATGAGCAGGGCAATTTGAGCAAGTTTGACTAAATGTGATCTACAGGAAGAGGACATGGTTGTGGAAGTACATACCTCCAGGAAACCTCTGTCGACAACTGTTCCGCAATCGCCTATACGACATCTTGTGTGACACTCCAGATTGCCTTGTGTGTCCTTCCAATCGACTGGGTGATTGCATTATAGCAGGGTCAACTATGAAATTCGTTGCCAGTCCTGTGGAGCTGAGTATATTGGTGAAACAGAGCGTCCCCTTCGTATACGAATTAAAGAACATCTGGAGGAGCTAAGAAAGTTTCGCAATCAAACACCACTGGGAATGCATCGTGTTCTGTGCCATGATGGTAACGAATTCACAGACTCAGTAGCCAGGAAAGCACTTGAGGCGTGTTGGATTGCAGCTAGGGACCCACAAATTAATAGGAAGGAAGAGTTCGTGACCGCAACCCGTGGCCTCGCGCCCTTCTCGACCTCTGCAAAATTTGAAATTACTGCGAGGTCAGGAGAAGGTAGGCTTGCTCATTGTACATAGACGTTAAATTCTGGGTGGTCAATCTAACGCTCCGGCGATTCAGATCAAGGGAAGCAAGACTCTTGCATACCGGGTCCAGGAGATCTCCTGTCTAGAGAATTGTCTGAGTTTTTCTCGCTTTATTATAGAATCAATTTCAATGTTTGTTTTCAATGTTCCAGGTTCTGACAAAATCGAACTTGCCAAATCATTAGCCTCATAAAGTTTGAAATCTTGGAAAGGCAGAAAAAAACGAGCACCTAACCACTATCTTCCTTAATGACGACACGGCACCAGAGCGATGGCCACCTTGGTAACATCAACAGCGCACTGGAAGAGAACACCACTTCCATAAGCATTGTCAAACGTTGGTTCGCTCGCTTCAGAAGAGAAGGTACGTGCTTTGAAGACAAACCTCGGTCGGGCGCTAACACGCTGCGGGGAACTCTGTCTGCACAGCGTTGAGCCACTCCCATATAAGGTATGTAGGACGCGAAAAACTCTCGGAATTTTTTCTTCTTGCTTCATCATCCTTGTTTCATTTCAGAACGTTTCATTGGTGAGACGAGAAGAACGAGGAACCGATCTGCACTTTGTCTAAACTTCCATACACCCCTTTGGAGTAGAGGTTTTTGAGGAATGACGGGACATTCAGATCATCTGCAATGGTGAAATAGTTTTCTTCCGGCACTGGTCTATTGGCAACGTCAAGGCTCAAATGAAATTCGTTATTTTCGTAATGGATTGCTGGCCTGCTGCTGTGTCTGTGTTCTTCGAAGGCATAGAAATTTGATATTCCTTCCCTTTATAAACTTAATCTCTTCTGGCTTTCCAGATCCAATGGTCAGGGTCCTTATTCGAAATACTCCGAACTCTTACTCCTCTACAGCTCTCGTGTACTGTCAGTTCAGACAAGTTTTCCGACTTCAGACATGTTTTTTGTAATTGGGTTTCTTGACTAGTCGACCTTTCAAACTACACCTGACACAATGAGCAACATCCGATCACATAAAATCAAGCATAAGTAGGAGATGATCTCTGGGTATGAGTGGATGCATCAATTTCTACTGCTTTGTGAGTTTCACAGCTCGCATTCGTGTTGGATATCAACTGCTATTATTATGTTCTTCTTTTGTGACTTATGACTACGAAACACCTACATTAATCTACTAAAAACCATAATACTGTCGAGTCGAGTAAGTCTTCATGACCTTAACTGATGGCAACCTTCACATACAGGTAAATATGTTCATCAAACTGCGCATTCAGCGTGTATGCACAGTGGAATTATAGTGGCCCTATTCGGATAGGGCTTGTTAACACTCGGGTGTACTCTCCTGCAGACTTGTGCATTGAATCTGTACGATATTTTGTGCTCGTTTATGCGCGGAAGGAGGAAGTGCAACCCGATTTGGCGACTACCATGGAGGGCATTTCAACATGGAATGAACTAGCGACCGGCTTGACGATCTGGCCGATGGTGAAGTTAAGTTCCGTTAACTCCAGCTTGTTTTCGTCTATATTATCGGTACTCTTTTGAATGCATCTTCTTTGACTCGAAGATTGAATGAAGGAGGTAAGGATATTTGAACGTAACTGTCCTTTACTGCCCCGCTAGGCTCCAGGTTTTTGAATAACATTTTGAATGAATCGAATCACGAGCCATTTCTGTCTACTTACTAATTGTTGACACTAGCGTTACACTACTCCGTTTGCTATTCATTTGCTTCTGCACTAATAGCAGGAAACTTGTTCTGTGTAATCTCCCTAACACCTGAATAATAAGGGTATGTTTAACCAATACTGCACTCTGTAAAATGTCCTTTGAAGAAAGGAATTAGGGGCAAATTGTACATAGTACTCAGTGCCTATGGGTATTAGATAAACTGAACTAGTGGCAAAAGACGCGAAACTGAACTAGGGGCAAGAGACACAGATAATAGCTTCTTGCTACTACCTTTGCATGTGGGCATTTTTCATCCTGATCACTTGACTCTGATTGAGATGTGTGCCTCCCTGATAGAAAAGAAAAAGTTTTGGTTAACTACCCCTAAGAGATCAATTTATCTGCTAATATGGGACTGAGTTTTGACAAGTGGATTATAAAGATTAATGTAAGAAAACCTTAATCCGCATCATTGGAGCAAATCACATGGATATGTACGGCAAACTAGAGTTTGAAAAGGAGTTTTTATCCTTGTAGCATATGCAAACATAGGTTATCGGCAAATTTCATTTTATCGTCCGAAAAAGCCGGTGTTGAAGCCAGTGTTGTAAGCGTTGAAGCTCTCACTCTCACTGAATCCATAAGAATCGCCGTAGGCGCCACCATAACCACCAAAAGGCATTCCATAACCAAATTGGCGTTTTAATCGGTTGTGCCTAGAACAGATTAAAACGAAACTACAGAGAATTACATAGTAGTAATTCTGAGGTCAATGGAAGAGAACACTCACGTTTGAGGCCCAACATAATCATAAAGTGGTACTGCACTGATGAAGGTTATTACGATGAGGAGGCAAAGAAAGGCAAAGAATCGGCTCATAATTGGGAAGTTGCTGTCATTCACTCCACCTAGCGTTTTATATAGAGACAAACAGCGCTATTTAACGAAATAGGCGCAAAACAAGTTTTTTATGTACTTTATAGGTAGTACTGAAGGTTGATTCATCGTGAATTGAGTAATTAAGAGCTGTCGTAGAGGGACATTCACGTCATCTGGAGAAGTGCGACGATCCTTTGGAACCTGAATACACGAAATTCGCTAAATGGTACTGACCGTAGGTAATGATTAGTATGACTGAATTGTGACTTTATGTATTTTGATATAATTCAAAGTGATATGAGAGTGGAAGCACTGTTCTCTCTAACACCGAGTTTAGGTGGAAAAGTCCATTCTGTTACTGCATCTTCCCAGTAGAATACAAAGAACAGAACCTCCGAATCGAAGATGACTCGGTTCACTTATGCGGACAACTCTTTTCGATTAGCAGCGCATCGAACAATACCACTGAGTAGTATGGTTGAGCCACTTTGTAAATAGAAACTTGATATAGTACACGTAAAGAAGTTCTGCTACTACCGTCTCTTCCACTCATTCCTAGACTGTCCGATGACCAGCTCTCACTATTGAACTTGAGTAGTGAGACAGTTCGTTTAGGGGAACATCCAATAGAAGGGATGCGAAGTAACATCTCTTGGAGTACTTTTGCCTGCTTATATATTGGGACGGAATTCGCGTAGTCACTGTATAAGCTAAGCAAACCTTCCATCCTCCCGCGACCGGTTAACTGGAAGCTGACTCGTCTGATAGTAAATATAAAAGCATCGACTTGCGGTGCACCTAGAGCTCTCATAATAACTGTGCATTAATGAATGTCACACTGATCGTAAACCGATGGTGTTACGGAGCTCAAATAAATTGTGATCGAGTGTTGGTGAGTTCCAGAGAGAGCACATGTTTCTAATATGTTGTCGCAAACCTCCTCTTCGCCATAAATTTTGATCAAGTGTTGAAAATAAGATTAGAGGAACATGATTCGATTTGATTTATTACACGATTGACTTGTGTGGAATTGAACAACGGGAACAAGCAAAAGCAACTCAAAACAAAAAATCGACCGAAAAACTGATATAGGGCGTAAACACTACACCGAAAAAATTAGGAGGTAGAAAAAAGCTATAATATAACGAAGAAGTGAAGTATAAGAGTAAACAAGATGCGAAAAAAGAAAATAATATTGGAGACAAGGAGCAACTAGCGTCCGTGTTGGGTCATGAGCCTTTTGAAGTGTGCGAGCGACTTAGGCACTGGGCTTCGCTTGATAGTTTCGTTCAACTCGATACCAGCACGGTGGCAGGAGAACTGGCTTTTATACCTAGAATAAGGACTAGGCATAAAGACGTTGGTATTGTTCCCACGAGTGAGCCTAAGCCTATCTACAGAGACCACACCACGGAGAATGTTGTAGAGCATGAGTACATCAAATCGTCTCCTTCTACTTTCGAGGGTTTGCAGACCTAGAATTTGGTTCCTCATAAGCTTTCGGAAATTTTCGTATAGTCATATCCATGGACCCCTACCATCAATTTCCTAGTGAAGTCATTTTAAACTTCCTCTAAAGCCCTAGTAAGAGGATTTTTCTGGGGATAGTATATAACTGTCGCCATATTACAATAGTGGACAAATGCTGTCTTGAATGCTCTTAGAATGAGTTGAGAGTCTTTACAAACAAACGCCTTGTGAAAATTGTATATCTTATTAGAAGCCTTGCTCACAATCCTTACTATATAATATTATCCACAAGTTTGGTGTGTCTGTTCGTATGTATGTATGTATGTATGTATGTATGTATGTATGTATGTATGTATGTATGTATGTATGTTTGTTTGTTTGTTTGTTTGTTTGTTTGTTTGTTTGTTTGTTCAACGTGAAATTCAGTACATTTTGAAAAACAACTTTAAAGGTCGGGGGAAGCTCGGCGTGGGCGGTGCGAACAGCCAAGCGCCTTATTTTGACTTCGAAAAAGGTCCAGACACCGGAAAAACATGTCCAGAGGTGGGAACTGGGTCAACAAACCAGGCGGAGGAGACCCACGTGCTGTGGGCGGAGCGACCTCAAAATGGGCGGTACTTTTTAGATGTATTCATAACTCGATTCAATTGAGGCGCAGAGGCCAGGGAAAAAAAACAAAAGGAGTGAGCAAGGCCTTATGCGTGTTGGGCGTGCATAAGCTTAGCGAAGAACCGCCCACGGTGGGCGGGGCGTGCGTTGAGACGAAAGATACTTTCCAAAAATGAGTGCAACTTCGCTAGCAAACGTTCCAGTATGCAGCAAAAAGGTGTTAAGGTGTAAAAGAACAAATGTAGTGGAATCCTAGAAGTGGGCGGGGCTGCCACTAAAGTGAGCGTAGCATGGATCAAAAATTTATAACTCTATTCAGAAACGTTCTGGGATGCGGCAAGAAGGTATTAAGGTATAAAAGAACAAGTGTGGTCAAATCCCAGAAGTGGGCGGGGCTAAGACAAAAATTTATAACACTATTCAGAAACGTTCTGGAGTGCGGCGAACAGGTGGCAAAGTGTAGAAGAACAAGAGTGGTCAAATCCCAGGAGTAGGGGGCTGGCCCTAAAGTGGGCGGGGCATAGATCAAAAATCATAGCTCTTCTCAGAAACGTTCTAGAATGCGACGGAAAGGTGTTAAAGTGTAAAAGAACAAAGTGGTCAAAGAAGTGGGGGGGCTGGCACTAAAGTGGGTGGGGCTAAGACAAAAATTCATAACACTATTCGGAAACGTTCTAGAATGCGGCAAAAACGGGTCAAAGTGTAAAAGAACAAGAGTGGTCAAATCCCAGAAGTGGGCGGAGTTGCCACTGGAGTGGGCGGAACTTACATCAAAATTGTAAGTCTTTTCAGGTGCGTTTTAGAACGCGGGAAATATGTGTCTGGAGGCAATAAAGGTAATGTTGTTCTGGTCTGTAGTGGGTGGGGTTTGCAAAGATGGGGGCAGGGCTGAGGTCAGAAATTTTTACATTTGTCCTTCACACTGACCCTGATCACATAGGTGTACAACTAGGGGATACCACTGAACTCTTTCAAAAATTAGACTAAAAGTCTTCTAAAGTAGGATCCATGGTTCGACACACAGTTGTCCCTTCTACACAAGAACAAATGCACTACATTGACTTCAGACCTCATGAAATAAATTATACAGTAACCCCGGCTAAAGATGCATACCCTGTAGAAACGTGTGAATCTCTACGAAAACACAAAGGGCTGTCCTTTTAAAGATAGTGTTCATGGCCACACACAGCCCATACTACACAGAGCTTCTTCGACTACATGGGCTGCAGAGGTTCCTGATTTGGATACATTGGAGTACTCTTCATGGCAACACTCAACCCCATTTCACCCCAAAAAGAATGATTGCCGCTACAAAGGTGTTATAAAAGAAGCTCAGACGAAAAAGGTCTATAATAAAAATCAGAAGCTCATGTGGCTCCGTCCCTCATGGCTAGAGCCCCAAACGCAATCGAAATTAAGATTGCGGCAGATGACGAAGCCAAGGTCAATGGCTTCGTCCACAGTTTGCGAAACATTACCATCAATGTGATAAGAGCAGGGACTCATTTGCGAATGAGATAGGATCAAAACATTTGTTTCGTCGACAGACAATGAAAGCTCCCACGTTTTGGACCACTCCTTAACAAAATCAATGGGATTAGAGTCAATGTCGCTTCTCATAACCATGTAAACTATCAGATCATTGGCAAAAACTTTACGGTCAGGGAAGGACGTAATCAGAAAGCTCAATTTGAATGTATAAATGTTGAAGAGCAAGGGGGATAAGACTTCACCTTGGGGGACCCCGCTTGCATTCTCCCTGTTTCTAGAATTTATGACCTTCTTCTCGACACTTAAATTGAATTTTGCAACCTTTTTGAGAAATCGATTTCTTAGCCGTAAGTAATTGTTCATGTCCTCAGGACCGTTGGATTCAACTGCCTGGGTCCAAGCCTCAGTTCATAAATTGGAAAATTGGACAAGATAGGGCGGAAAGAAAGGCCTGTTACTCAACTCAACAGCAACAGGACAAACATCTCGATTACCTGCCTTAGAACGAAAGTGAAAAGTTCATATATTTCATCAACATTGGCACAGCACTGAAATGAACCACACCAGTCAACATTAGAGGGGTAGTCACAAATTTGAACATAATCGGCCTTCAAACCTTTCTGCACAGGGTGGGCGAATGAACGTACTAGGGGAAATCAAAAGTGAAGCTGGTCGCGTAATGATCGCTAGTGCCTAGCGGAGGAGCAATCGTCAGATACTTTACTAGCTCGGACTTATTGCAAGCTACTTGGCCTAAGAGATGGTTGTCATGAGTTGAATCGAGGATTAATTGCCGTAAACCGTAAAAGTTGCACAACTGCAAAATATAGACAGCAAAACTACTCATATTATGTCCCAGCTCACCAGTCCAGGCAACATCCGGCAGGTGAAGTCTCCCATCGCTAAGAAGGGATACTGGCAAGTAAACAGGTCAGTCAAGGCCTTTCGTTTTAATTCGTAGGAACATCCGGGTGCTCTGTAGAAAACAGCAATTCTACACAATTCAGAAAAGGAGGTAACATCACAACACAAAAGCTCATACAAATTAGTGATAGGCTCATTAAATACGACTTGATACGAAAATACCCTCCTGGCTAGAATTGTCACACCACCACCTGATTTACGAAATCTATAGCAGCGAATAATACTGTACTCATGCCTTTAGACACCCCGTGGAGTATAGCTCACAAGGGCAGGGCTTAAGCCAGGTTTCTGTGAGGGCCGCAATATCAAAGCAACGTTCAGTCAATTTAAAAACCACAGAATTAGCATTTCATGGCAGGGATCGTATATTAGCTAGCAAAAATTTACAGCTAATGACCTGAGGAACTATTGAGTGTTTAAAGGAAAACAGGTGACAAAACATCCATAGAATCATTCGATATATCGGAGACAGGCACTTCAAAAGATGAGGGGAAATTATCGAGCTGAACCTTAGAATTATTTAACGTTCTCCCTCGGAG